GTGACTCATCGTGTACATGGAATTACGATTCGCTCGTGTTCGACATTCGGCTCTCTGATCTGTCAGTAAGCCGCGAACCATCAACCGGAGAGCACGCATGTTTCTCTCTAAAAGCGATGGCCGCGCACGTGCGTGACCAAGAATACCGATTCGAAACCGACAAGTGGTTCCTGAACCCTTCAGAAGTCGAGTATCCGATGAATAATCGCGTTTCGAGTGAAGGTGTATCTTTTAATCCCTTTTGAAACACGCTTGAGATTTTTGCATTTATCTTCTTTCTTTACGCTTACACAGTTCTACAATTTGTACATATCAGATATTCGAAAGATTTGAAAGATTTTTCTTTTATCGTCATTTACGAATAATCGCGTTTCAAACGAAAATAACGCTTCTTTTTAAATCTTTTTTCTAATTCTTTTCTAAACCCGATTTTTTAGATTTCTTTTTCTTTTGTATTGTTTAAATTTGCAAAGTATTTTTAGATATATTTGGAAAGTCTTTTCTTTTCTTCTTTGTTCTTTTCCTTCGTTATTCTCAGTTGTAAAATTTTTTAAGTCGATGATACTTCTTTAATTATTTAAGAGAACGGCCGTTTAAATGATATGGAATTTTTTTAGAGTTTAATATTTACAATAAATGACTAATTCTTTAATATTTAAACACGATCATTAAAATTCAAGCAAACACTTTTATTACAAATGTACTTTATGCAATAGCGTTTCTATTTTAGAAAATGAATACGAAACGATGTATACAAACTTAATCAAGGAGTAACATATTAAAATATAAATATAAAATATAAATATAATTTCATTCATTTTGAAAAAAAATTTATTGGAAGAATCTTGTTTCTAACGTGCATCAGAATTAAGATTTAATATTATTTAAATATCAATCAATTATTTTCCTTATTGATATTTCTGTTCTTGCATTAAATGTAATAATATGCATAGAAAATTATAAACTTCGATTCTATTTAATTTATTGCATAAATAATTTTTACGTAAAATTCATATTGGTTCTTTTGGGCAAAAAAATTATTATTTAATTCAATATTATTTCATATAATAATTTTGGGACGAACATTTTTTAATACTTTTCTATTCGTATCTGTAAACAAAAAAGATGTCAATTATTCAGTGGATAACATATTACTTATCATTATACTTTATACACTCTTAAGCCGAAGACGAGATAGTTTTTAATTAATCGAAATTATTTATTAATAACACATGTGTATTTATCATATATATATATATATATATATATATATATATATATATATGT